TTAAATTTACTACTCTTTTTAATGTTTAACTTGCTTAAATAATTTTTTAAGAAAAAAACTTGCTCAAATAAACATTAAAAAAAACTTGCTCAAATAAACATTCAAACCTACCAAATAAAAATTAATGAAGTAAACATTTTCTAGTAAAACCAATGGTCAAAGGATGCTCAATAATCTTATTAACATGTGTTGTCTATTTATAATAAAATTTGACGTATTCACCTCTTTAAGTTAACAACACAACATCCAAATATATTTCATACTTAATCACATATCAAAACATTATAAAATAGTTCGTAAAATTCAAAAACACGCAAAATAGGCCTTACTATAGGCAAAATAATCTTATTAACATGTGTGGGATATTACGGATGTTGAAACTCCTTAATTATTCTAGTTTGTTTCAAGTTCATAATTCAACATAAAATGCTATTGCATAGTTGTGAGCCAAATCTTAAAGTGTAACATTTCTTGAATGACTCACATGTGAGATTGGCCTCCCTTTACTCCATCTAATAGTATCATAACCGCACCTCACCTAACAAGTGAAGAACTTAAAAACTAACACTATTTATTTTCATTATTTGTTGATTATAAAAAACCTTTTTCATTGGCATCAAATGTTGTCAAATCAAGTTTTGTTTATTATGGCACCATTCCTAACCTTTCTATTGTTGGTCAATTTCCTTTTCGTAATAGTAACTATTGCTCATACCTTTATTGTACTCCTTTTCACAATTTTTCTTGAAACCAACAAGGATTTCTTGTAATTGCATCGAAAATTATTTTGATTGGTTAATAAATCTAGATTCAATTTGTGTGATACTTGTCGTTATTCACAATGTGACCTCTACAACTATCACTTCATTAATTTTGTGTTTATTGTAACAAAATTATCATCTCTCATTTAACAATATATTTAAAGGTTCTGGATTGAATCACTAATCATGCACGAAAAACATACTTCATCAGATAAAATCTTACATTGGTAGTGAATCTTATGTCATGAAGAACTTATAGTTAATATATTAAAATTGTGTTTGAAGATAATAACAAGCATAATGATCACACGTGAAAACCTTTTCAGGAAAAACCAAAGGAGAATTTTTACTCATATCGAAAATAGAATAATACAAGAGATATCCTCATTAACAATTTGACTTCTAACCCTAATCTCTAATATCTATTTATTAGGATAGTTGCTTGATTAAAAAAGTAACTTACATAGCAAAAATTAGATTTCCTATTTCCCTAATCAATTTGAGTCAATTCAAATTTGAGTCAAACTCTGGCAACCTCCACATTGACATGAATTCTAAACGTACAAAGAGTTCAAGACAAAATTCCAAATTTGATTAAACACTCAAACTCAACAAAAAATATTTCTTCACGTTGACAAATAAATTCTCTACCTTTAAATTCTTCACTTCTATGAAATCCCTTAAAGGGTACTTAATAATTGATTACCAATTGAGTTCAAGTCTTTCCCAAGATTGGATGTATAAGGTCACTTAGTCTTTACATTGGTATGGTCATCATAAGTGTCGACTTTGCTAAGAACTGTATCAACACAAGTAATATTATGCGCAACATAATCTCAATCATCAATAAAATTTGTCTTTTTCATGCTTACAATGAGAAAGTCCTTGCAAATTTTTATGTTTTCACATGTCACAACGTGAATCTAGTGTTGTGACCATGAACTAAATTTCATGATTAAAGGAAATGATTATCTTGATTTCAAAATAAAATTGGCACCAAAGTTTTATGTGAAAAAACTCTTAGGAAAAACCACGAGCCAAAGAGTAAAATTTTCATTAATAACAAAAATAGAAGAACACAAGAAGAATCCTCATTAACAACTTGACTTCTAACTTTAATCCCAAATCTATTTATGGGGATGATTACTTGATTACAAAGTAAAAATCTACTCTAACTATGTTTCCTACTCGTAATCAATGTAAAACAGAATATATACGATACTTTTAATCAAACTAGGTTTATTAATTTACCTAATCAGTTTGAGTCCGTTCAAATTGAGGTAAAACTCTAACCATTTATCTGAGAGAGGTCTCAATATTAGAAAATCTAAGCAGTCATTGAATCGATCTCCTAAGAACGATAGAGTTTTAAACCTACATGAATTAGGGAAAAAAATAAGTGTTATTTATCACTAAAGTTATCCTCTTGGATAAAGGTTAAAAGTAATTTTGTTCTTATAGAATAAGAAACTAAAACTAGCTTGCAGAATAATAAATTATAATTCAAAAAACCTAAAATTAATGACTTAATTGTAATAAATACCTACAAAATATATCATTGTACTTAGGAATATTACTAAAATAAAATTATTTGTCTTTTACCTTCTTTCACAAAAGCATTTGTGATTTCACTCAATTTATTAAGTAGCATTGATATCAAAGTGCTAGTAAAGGATAAGGAAAACTTTGCATTTTTTTAAAGGAGTATTTTGTATGATTTTATTAATTCGGATCACACAAAACAAAACATACTATAGATGTCTCATTGAAAAGTCTTTCTAAACCTAAGTGGAGGAAAAGGAGTGTACTCTATCGCTGTCAGGACATAGCTTAAACCGAGAACAAACTCTAAACAACAGATACATGCATACCACCCAACACCACATAAAAACTCCATTACACGAGCACCAGCCATCATTTGGATAAAACCAAAGGACAAAGGACGATACACAAGAGAACAGACCCGGGCAAACTCATCCCAAACTCGACGATCAGCCTCGGAACCAAATGAACCTCTCTCGTGCTTCCTATTCCTCCCATACCGAGCACCATTTGAATAGAACCAAACACGACCTGGAAGCGTCCACATGAGAATGACTCCCACCCTATAGAATCGGAATGACAATAACCAGTAGAGTTCCAACCAGTAATGGAACATTTTACAAAGCGTAGAATCATCCAAAATTAACAGGAGACTTCACTACCGAACACAATACCAGACCTGACTCTGCAGGTGATCACGGAGACAAACCCGACTTAATCCGACTGCTCGAACCCCGCCCTTATGAAGTAACAAAATTCCACGTCACACATAGCACTGCATACACTCAACCAGACAAAACCATGAAAGCACTGCCATACTGCTTCTTCCACTACTTTTGACTCATCTGTCCTCTATTCCCCTCACCGACCATATGGAGCCCTCCCCTTTTACACTGACATCGCGATTTCTGCCAAAGAAACTACTTTGAGATTTACACGACTAACTACCATAAATTAATGAAAAAGTACGCTACTCTTAAAGACTACAGTGAGACAGACCGACCCCATAACAGGAACATTCAAGCAAACCGGCTAAACAATGACAAAAGACAGGAAGAGCAGAACAACACCAAAGATGACTATCCCCCCAAGGCAAAATTAACACTCCACTGGGATTAGGATGCTACCTCAAGAGGAACGATCTATTAACAAAATCCGAAACAGACGAAAAACGGGTTGGCCACTTACTATTGCAGCAGAAACCAATCCTTAACACGGCTAACTCGAATAGTTGGTTCGCATATACCATTCTCTTATTGAATAGAACAGCATTCCTGTATATCCATAGCCCCAAACTATCCCAAAATCAGCAATCTGTCATACAGGTTTTAGATTAGCATTATACCTTTGACAATCCCATGCTAGGATCAGATTTCTAACACTACCAGGACATAAGAACTGCACCCTCCAAAGTTGGCACCAGCTTTGCCAAACTCTCCACGACACTCTACAATAGCATAGTAAATGATCAACCGTCTCCTGCTCTTCCAAGCACAGGACACACATTTGAGACGGAAGGTTAGATAATCCACGCTTGGCTAGCTCCACAATCACCAGAATTCTCTTGCAGAACGGCTTTCCAAACGAAAGCTTCCACCTTGGGTGGAGCCAGATTAGCCCATACCAGATCCCTTAACTTATCCTTTTCGCGACCTTCACAAGCAACTATCTCACAAAAGCTTTTAGGGGTATACACACCACATGGAGAACCTTTCCATAACCATCAGTCTACATCATTAACACTGTTCACGGCACTGTTTATAGTACACAGGAAATCATCCCAAACGCTAACTCCCATTCGAAAAAGATTCTTCTTATCTCTATCTTCCAAACCCAATTTCCGTTTGTTTTTGAACCAAATTCGTGGACTTTTCCAGACTTCTTAATTGCAACAGCGAAGATACGCGGGAAAACCAATCTCAACGAGGGAACTTCTGTCCAGAAGTCCTCCCAAAACTCTGTGGATTCCCCATCGCCCATGGCAACCTTTACAATTTTTAGTGAACATGTCATGTTCCTTAGATAATAGACGGACAATGTTCCTCCACACCCACGAACATTTGTTCAACTGAACACACCCCGGTAGGAACGATGCCTGCGCATATCCATACTTTGCAACAACGACCCTTCTCCAAAAACACTGAGATTAGTACCAAATCTGTATATCCATTTTTGTCAGTATGGATCGATTCCTTCAGATGTAATTTTGTTAATTCATAAACGTTGAATGTATACATCATGTTAGATCTGAAATAATTTTTTAAAAGTAAATTAAGCTTATTGATATCTTCTTCTAAAATATTAACAAAAATTTAAATTTAAATATTTAAATTCTCGTAAAATCTTTCTTGTGATTCCGATAAATTTGAAGCCATCAGATTTTCAATAACAGTCATGCTTGTCTCATGTTTCCGATATATTTGTACATGAATGTTGAGATAGGACCTTTAAAAGATTAGTTACGAAAACTTTAAAAATTGAACATACACTCGAGTCTAAATAACATACTTTCTTGTTCATTGAATACAATAAGTTCTTATGTTATTTATAATATGTATATTCATGTGTGTGCTTCATTGTTGGGTTATGAGAGGTTTCTAGTAAGATGAGAGCAGGTGTTACACACAAGTTTATATTATGGCTGTTGTACGTGGCTTACATTTAATGCTTAATCTTTTATATTTTTCTATTTTGTAGGAATTGGTAAAGTGTGAGCTTTTAGACGCTTGAAGACAACGGGATGTGCAAGCTTGTTTTTGGAATAGAGGAACCAACTCCATCCGGTGCTTTCCTTCTTATCGATCTTTTTGAATCTGGTTGATGGGAATGGTTCAAATGAACAATAGTGGTCTCATGACCGGGAAATTGGTTGAATTGAATACACATATCCGTGATGAGAATGTGAAAATAAGGGATGGGGTCATGGGTGAGGGCCAGGGCCTGTCGGAGGAAGACGAGTCACGTATTAATGAAGACACAAGTAATGGGAAGGAAGAGGTGGTTCAGCTTCATGGTCCTTTCGTTTGTTGGGAGAGGTTTTTACCTCTAAGGTCTCTCAAGGTTCTATTGGTTGAAAACGATGACTCAACTTGTCATGTCGTCTGCGCATTGCTAAGAAACTGTGGCTATGAAGGTTAGTGATTTTGCAGTTTGATTATAATATTCTGTTAAAATCGACATGGCAGCATAAGTGACTCGAAGATTATTGTTCGAGGGCTTACGTTATTTTTGTTGCTATTTGCGTATTGAGGATTTTGATTCTTCTCTAATTGTATTGCATTCGTTGCTTGCGCAAATAGCCCTATTGGTTGATATTTATATGATTTTTCTATAAACCATTTTTTGTTCCTGGATTTATGCAGTTATTGCTGTGTCAAATGGTTTGCAAGCTTGGAAGATCTTGGAAGATGTAGCCAATCATATTGATCTTGTTTTAACCGAGGTAGTAATGCCTTGCTTGTCGGGCATTGGCCTTTTAGGCAAGATAATGAACCACAAAACTCGCAAGAATATTCCAGTGATTAGTGAGTATATTTCCTTTATCGCTTCTCCACTTTTTAAAGCAATGAAGGTTATTTTTATTATGATTTGGCAAAAGAAGAAGGGAAGGCAATGCAATTTTAGAGCATTTTGTTTATAATTGATACTTTTAACTGCAACACCTTGTGAGTTTTGTGTGCAGTGATGTCATCTCATGATTCTATGAACATAGTGTTGAAGTGTTTATCCAAGGGCGCTGTTGACTTTTTAGTTAAGCCCATTCGAAAGAACGAGCTTAAAAATCTCTGGCAGCATGTTTGGCGGAGATGCCACAGCGTGAGTTGCTTACAGTTAACCCACTTTACGCTTAAAAATTATATCAACAGTTTCAGGTCTGCCCTTTTTTGTGCCCTTCTCTCCCAAAATGTCAAGCTGCTTTAGTGAAACCAAGTAGCTCCTTTGCCATTTAAATTTTGTAAAAAGAAAACATGTTTGGTTTTATGTTTTCCATGTTTTTACCAGTTTCTTGACATGAGACAGCAGAAAAATGCAAAACATTTCATCTCTTATCCTTTCAACAGTCTAGTGGTAGTGGAAGCGGAAGTGGTACGAGGACTCAAAATTCCGCCAAATCAAAAGCTGCTGATTCCGACAATACTCAAAGTTACAAGGAGGACGATACCGGACGTGGGGGACTGAACGCTCAGGACAGAAGTGACAATGGAAGTGGCACTCAGGTGGACTTTTATACTCAAATTCTTTGAGTTATAGCCTTTACCTAGTTGTGTAGTACTCTTATCCTCGATATCGGTTTAGGGAGATTTTTAACGAGGCACACAACTCAGGTTTCGGGTTTGTATGTTTAAATTCTTAATAAAATCATATTTGCCAAAAAACAATTGTCTGATTTAGAATTTCGGGAGGTAATTAAATTGTTTCTTTGCAGAGCTCGTGGACAAAGAGAGTGGTTGAGATTGATAGCTCCCAACCAATATCCACAGGCGACCAGGTAATGCATTCAACGTCTGAAGTGCTTGCTAATAAACGAGTTCCTGTAACAACCCAAAGGGAGTGTGATGGTCGAGACGATGAACTTGGTACGTGCAAAACCCTTCATTGCACTATATACTTGTACGATTTTGTTCGTTTTCTTTTTGTTTCATTTAAATTGTGATGCATCATGTTATAGGATAATGAAAAATAACGATCACACAAACAAAGAGATAAAAAAACATGTCACGCTCTGAATTGGTTAAATTACAGGTTTAAGGGCTTCATTGAAAGATTCTAAACTAATTTGTAAGCCATGTAATTGTGGCTAGTTTCAAAGACCATAAAACGTCTGAGGGCTTACATTGAAGATTGCCCAAGTTATCAAGACTATATAGGGGTCTCTGTCTCCCAAAAGTAATCCTTTTTCTCTCTCTTTTGCTCTTTTAAAACCTAGGCACAAAATTCTCCTTTTCCTCCGTCTTAAATGTTTCTATTGTTGTTCCTTATTCCGTTATCATACCTCTACATTGGATCATGCTTATCACTCTGATTGTTCATAGAATTGAACCAGAAGTATCAATTTGGTCAAAAGCTCATTGAGTTTAATATCAAGCAAAACTCGACTCGACTTGAATTTTTTTTTTCAATTTTAATTATTCAAATAAACTCAAATTATCAATTCGATTTTTGAGTTCGAGTCGATTTTAAATTTTGAATTTTCGATTTACTCGAAAAATCAAAAATTTGACTAAGTATTTAGAACAGTTTTACGATTTAGTCCATAATTTCATTATTTCTTCAATTTCTCCTTCATTTTAAGTCGAATTTTACTAAATTTGAACCATATGCTCTTAAACCATCATAGAATGCATATGTACTTTCAATTTCTCTTTTTGATAAATTTTTTTTATTTTTCAATTTAGTCCTCAATTTTTCATATTTACCTTATTTCTTCAATTCATCTTTTATTTTAAGTCTATTTTTTACCAAAATTGAACCACATGCTCATATACCACAATGGAATACCTATGTAACTTCAATTCTTATTTGTTTTACTAAAAATGTACTCTTTTTTTGTCCCTTAACTTTGCATTTTACTAAATTTGGTCTTTTAACTATAATTGTTTGCGAATTCTTTATTTCCATTAATTCCTTGACTCCTTTATACTCTCATCAATATTTTTCTCCCAAAATAATTTCTTTAAAATATAATATTATAAATATGTTTTATAATTTTAGATTGTATATGATATATTAAATAGCATTATAATGTGAAAAGAATATATATATATATATATATATATATATATTTAAAGAAAGTAAAAAAAAAAATGGAACAAATCCTTATAATAATACTATAAATAATTATAATAAAATTAGTATAGAAACTCAAAAAAAAAATCAAGTTAAGTTCAAGTTGAAAATATGACTCGTCAACTTAAATAACTCAAAATATTTTAACTCGACTCGATGGAATGTTCAACCCTAATTTTTTTATAATGATAATTATATATTTTTTCGTCGTTTATCCTTATAGTGACTTAATGTTTTTCTTCTTAAATTTGTTATGTCCACAGATAATTAAACTCCTTTTTATTTCTCATAACTGTTATGCCCATGGTTAACTTATTCACAACGGAATCTTCTTTTACTTAATTCTAACATTACATTTTCACTCATATACTCTAGATTCGTATACGATGAGAAAATAACAAACACATCACTTATAATTGTTGAACCGAGAAATATGTAACTTGACAATCTTATTCTTCTGTTTCATCATGAGGAGAAAGCCATTGCTAATATTTAAAAGCTCACCTTTAGTTGTCTACCTATACCCATTTGAACCAATGGTAGTCAGCAAAATTGTACTTCTCTTTATTCTGATATGCGTAACATATCCACAAGTGTTTTGACGACTTTCTCGAACATCTTAAGTTTAATTGTGCCAATATCTGTAATTCTGTATAGATCATTATTTTCCATCAGAACAACAAGGTAAATAATTTTTCATACATTATAAACTAATCATGATCGAGACACATATGAAAAGTGTACAGAAATCGAGGATTGACTGTATGCTCACATATGAAAAGTGTACCCAATTTTTTTCTAGTTGCTTTCTTTTTTATTCACAACCTCTATCTTGTTCTTATTCCACAACTTATAACAATCAAATTTAACGTGTCTTTTTCCCCCCAAAAATTAGAAGGTTTACCTTTTCTTGATGATTTTAACCTACCACTAGTTTTACTGTCAGGTTTATGATCTTGTGACATCCCACGATTATCACTAGTATTTTGATTTTGTTTCCCATGAATAATGAGATCCTTTTCTTGAGTCACCTCAAGTCACAGTAAACTTTATCTTGTTTTAAGAGCGTAAAAAATTGTACATTTTATCAATTGTGAGAGAGTCGATATAAAATTGTATATTCAGATAACAAATAAATATAAATTAACCTTAAATCTACTCTATCACTTAACTTTTATGGTCTCCAAATATGATACAATTTATGTCAACCGATGAAAATAAAAAAAAATTAGATATAACCTACTAGTCTGGATATTTGACATGAATAACTACTCTAAGTTCACCTGCAATTTAGTGGTGGTCTTCTTCTTCAACACGTCTTGTAAAATTTTATTTGAAAAACGTAGATGTAATTGTTAAAAGACCTTATGACCCTTATGCTCAATCTCTTCGGTCGTCATTGTCTAAGGTATTTTTTTTAACACAAGCAAGGCGTCGTCCAAATTCATCTAAACAAGAATTTCCTTCATCTTTACCTGTCACAATGCAAAAATATGATGTTGTGATCCAACATCGAAATATCATATTTTAAAGTCTTCATTACCGTGATTAGGAAGAGCATACATTTTGATACCAGTTATAGAATAACAACAAATATTGATCACACAAGTACAAGAGACAAAAATAAGACATTAAGATTTACGTAAAAAGTCTTTGACGGAAAAAAGCGTAGGCAAAAGAGAATTTTTATTAATGTAGGAAGTATAAGAATACAATAGAATTTATAGAACCGACTTGACTTCTAACATGAATTCCTAGTATGCATTTGTTGATTACAGAAATATCTTGTTTAGTAAAAATTTATTCAAACTGGGTTCATAGTTTTAACCAACAACTAACAGTAGAAACGTGATTCAAATAGAATTTGGGATAGAAAAATTCTAATAAAACTCTAACACATCATAATGTCAAACAATGCAGTTAAGGGAAAGGATTTAGGGGAAGGAGCTCCTAAAATTACAGCTTTGCAGCTTGAAAATCTGAATGGAAAGGTCAATACCAATATGGAAGGTGCTAACCAAGAAAAATTATATGAAATCGACTCTAATAAAGATGGTGAGAAACTACAAAAGACACAACTGGAGCTCAAAGATGGGAAACTCGGTGGTGATTTGAGAAACCGAGCTGCTGATGTGATAGGTATCATCAATAATACTGATAGTCGGATAGAAAGTGCAGTCCTCTCAATTATGAATGGTCTCCGCAAGGTTTCTGATATGAAAGGTAAGGTCACCTACAAACCCAGGAAATGCCTTTCCTTGATATAAGTTTAAAGAGATTGATAGATGTTGGAGATACTGGAACAAGTGCCCATGAACGGAATGTATTGAGACATTCAGACCATTCAGCCTTCTTAAGGTATTTGGGAACCATAGCTTTTGATCAAATCGGGTGTTAGAAAAAAAGATTGGCTCCTATGGAGTGGGCTCGGGGAGGTGGGGGGAATATTTATGATTGTTACAGTGTCACTAAGAAGATGGCAAGAGCATAAAATATCTTTTGGAAGACGCGGTAACCATAGTGCATCTTCTGCTTTTTTACTTTATTGCATTAGCGTTCCAACAGCATGAAATATAGGAAAGATGTCAAGTGGTCGGTGCGTCTTCCCCGGCACTGTAGCAATCACCCTATCTCGAAAAATATTTTCTCAACCGCTCTATACGGGTCATTTTTTTTTCAACGCCCCATTTGATCGATTTTCCCCTTTTAGGTATCCTGATTTCATATTCAACTAATTTCCATTTTGATGAAGGTATAATTCTGGTTCAACTACGAATCAGGCTCCGGTAGGAAATGTTGGTAGTTGTTCTCCACTTGCTAATAGCTCTGAGGCTGCTAATACGGATTCCATGAAGAATTTCCAATCGAACTCAAACAACATGGCTCGGAATCAACAGTCCAATGGGAGTAGCAACAACAATGACATGGGTTCGACCACTAACAATGGCTACAGAAAATCAGCAGTTATCAGTGACAAGCCGGCACCTAAAACTATAGTTCCCTCTTCGGCCTTCCAACCGGTGCAAAACGGCATTGCTACTGCACCGCAACCTCTGGCACACGGTAAGGTTGATGCAGGAATCGGTAAGAAGATTTTAGCCAAAGCAAAGGGCACGGACCAACAGGTGCAAGTGCAGCATCAACATCACTACCACCACACTTTCCATAACATGCCCCGAATCCAGAAACTAGGTAACCATGATGATTCGTTCCAGTGCGGGTCATCAAACATGTCGAGTGCACCGCATGTTGACACCAACGGTTTGAACGGAAGTGCTTCGGAAAGTAACCATGGAAGCAATGTGCAGAATGGGAATGTCCCTGCTTTAAATTCTAGAGGATTTAATCTTGAAAGTGTAGATGGGGCTCCTGGGAAAGGCGGAGCTGTTGGTGGAATCGGATTCGCAGGTGGCAACCTTGCTGATCGGAACCGTTTCGCTCAAAGAGAAGCTGCTTTGAACAAATTCCGCCAGAAGAGGAAAGAAAGATGCTTTGAGAAGAAGGTAACTGCATTGCATATTTTAAAAAGTTATGACTATTGATTAAACCTTCTGAGCTAAAGCAAAATATTTGCCAGACATATGACTAATCCATGTTGACCCCAATTTAATGGTATAATTACTTTTTAAGCCACCAATAATTTTAAAATCATTACAGTTAAGTCCTTGTCCCTCTCAAAACTTTTTGGTATAATATTTTTAGGACAATATCAGTTTAAAATTAATAGAATTAAACCTTGAACCCAAATTTGTCTGGTTTAATTACTTTTTAAGACCTTTGAATTTTAAAATTAATGAAATTAAACCTTTCATCTCTTAATTTTTATGGTTTAATTACTTTTTAGACCTTATGTATTTTAAAATTAAACAATTTGCTCCTTCACAGTTCAATCCTGACATACTCATTACTCAACCATCTTAGAAAGAATAAAAACTCAAATTTCCCTAGTAGTGTGTTTAGCTTTTGAGGTATCTTATGGGGCTCTCGATCAGAATGGTCACGTCATCTAAGTTGATTTACACGTTCTAAACATTGTTCTCCATTTTTTTTTACTGCTATCGAATTTTTCAGGTTCGATATCAGAGTAGAAAGAAGCTGGCTGAGCAGAGACCAAGGATTCGAGGGCAGTTTGTGCGACAAGTCCAAGAAAACAATAGCAGGGATACAAATTGCTAACCTCGACCCTCTTCCCCTAGTCCGAGCACAATTTTACCAACCAGATTACGGGAAGGGAGCACAGCATTTGGATTCAATAGCACAGGATTATGCTAATAAATAAAATTTACGAACTCTTAATCAAAGACTGAATTTTTTACGAGGACTTGACTCATAACATGTACTTTAATTGTCCGACTTATGCAGCTTCGGCTGGAAATATAAGAACTACTACCACTATCAGCACAAGGTAACAACCCTTGAAAGGGGTTGCCCTTATATATAGTACTATCAGTCGGTATGGTTTTCTGTTTGTTAAAAGACTTGAATTAATGACAATGGTGCTTGATGTCTCAGTGCTTTTCTAAAACCATTTTCTTGGCTACTTTTTGATACATAGCCCGGATTTGGATATTTCTAAATATAATTAATTTCTTTTTCTTTAATTAAGATAGGTTAATAATTATCCATAAAAGATTGAGACATTAACTTTCAAATATTCATTATATGTATTAATATTGTAACACCTCAAAATGGATCTAAAATGGGTCTCAAATAATCGAGTAGGATTCAATCTGGGTAAAAGTATGATTGGATTTGGATTTGGAAAGACAATTGAAAAATGATAATTGAAAGATTAGGACTAAATTGACTAAAGGTTGAAAATATCAAATTTGTAATTATAATAGATGAATTAAAAAAAAGGTAATAATAATGTATATTGAAATTAATGCTTGATGAGAAACATTTCACTATTTTTTATAGTAGCGGGTGTTATAAAAAAAGTGATAATATTGAAAATTACAGTAAGGGTTTGCAATTATCATCGTAGACTAAATATACAATTTGGACATTTTTCTATAACATTGAAACAAGCAATACATGAAAAAGGTAAAAATAATCAACCAAATGACTCGAACGAAAAAAATAGATACGAATTAATTTGAATGCATTGACAAACGAACCACTAAAGGAGATTAAGCTATTGAAAGACCATCGAAAACTGCAAATAAGAGTCGATCGTTCTGAGAAATTATTCACGAACCCAAAATTGTGTATCCAAGTTCAATCTTAGGGTCCATAGCAGAGAAGATAAACATGATTACAAATAAGTGTCATCTTGATCAGTCGTTATGTCGTTAAATCTAACTTTGAAACAAAAAATAAAAAAATAATAGTCAAACGATCGAGAAATAAGATGAAAAATGTGCCACAAAGGTAGATAAAAAAGTGTAAAAAGGTAGAATTATTATTATTAAAAAACAAAAAAAAACAAAGAAAAAAGAGAACTGGTGGTTGACAACCAACATCAAAACCAGTGCCATAGTCGGTTAAACAAAGTTAAAGAAGAAAAGGTTGATAAACATTTCACTATTAGATTAAGAAAAAAATGATATATATTGTCACGCCCCACGAATCTAATCTCGAAACATGTGCAGTAGAGTTTGCAACAGAGGTTCTATGTGGTACGTTGGACTTGACTAGGCCATCAGACTTGGCCCATTCTATGGAGGAAGCTAAAGAGCTCGAACCCGTTCACATTGATCGTGCAAATATGGAAAGTGGCACCATATTATACAATGTCCACATTGGCAGTGCACATATGGATAAAGACAAGGAATTAGAAGAGATTGTGGAGGAATCTTACCATATCCAGTGTGAACAATCATCCAAGGAAAGAATCAAAGTAATTGATGTGATGAGATGATGGTTTGGTTGTCATCCCTTAAATTAAGGGATTTGTAATTATTAGGGCTAATCTTAGCCATTGATCTAGTTTGATCTTAGCTATCCATTGTAAGGGGATTCAACTATAAATAAATATCTCCCCACCTAATTTGTAATCACTCCACTTTTGAGAAATACAAGATCATTCACCCAACTCTCTTTGTTCTTTGTGAGCTATCTCCTTTCTAAGTTCTTTTACTTCCGCATTGCACTAAGCTTTCTTGCTTAGTGTTTTCAAGCTTACTTGGTCTCCAAATTGTCTAAGAAGGGTTCCAAGGTGACTAAGGTTGCACGTTTTAGGCAAGGAGTTTCCAAGGGCGTAACAAGTGATACCAAAGCTAGTTTGTTACAACAAAGAAGGGCATTTCAAGCTAGTTTGGGAGAGATGAGACCATAAAACCAAGACGAGGTCCCAATTGTTGTTGAGGGTATGGAGACAAGTGCTAGGGGAGTGAAGAAGCGAGGGAGTTTAAAAGATGTTGTTGCATCTTGACAAGTGTCGTAATTGTCAAATAATTAATCATTTTTTAGATAATTACGCTAAGAATGTAATATAGAGAAGAAGGGTGTCGGCCTACAGGGATTCGAAAATTTCTAATTTCAATATGAATTGATCTTCAACCAAGAAATCTGTAAAATAAGAAAATTAAAAAGATGGGGGTTTTGAATAATAAAATAAACTAAATAATTCGAATACAATTAAAATGAAAGTAATAATAAAATATAAGAAGTAAATTGTAAATAAATAATAAAGATGAGAGATAACCTTTAGCTTCGTTTCTCCTCAATCTTTCTGAATCAATGAAATAGATTTTACTTTGGATACTTGTCAGTTACAGTTTATAAGACCTAACCCTTATAACTTGCTCTTCTCTCTTGTGAACTGATTTCCAAAGCCAATCCATAAAAATTAGCTCTTTGGATTAATATCGACTATCGATATTAAAGCCAATGTTGGTTTGGAACTAGAAAAACTCGTGCTCGGATTATGGTGTCTAAATGAAAATCAAACCCGATCTTGATTTCCCTTATCAGACCACCACTAAATTTGTTCTTAGGGAATTGAACTTGCTACAAGCCGATTCTTTTCCCCAACTGTAGATCAAAACCTTGATCAAACTAATGCGTGCTCTTTGGATTGAAAATGTTGAGATTTTTGAAGGAATGACGATTGCCTCCCATTGTCTACCGAAAATCAAGAAAGAAATACAAAGATATGAAGTGATTTTTCAATTATCACGAGAATGGATCGAGTCTTTGCTCAACTATCAGCTAGAGAAAAGTTTAACCAAGCATGGTAGAGATCATTCTTGGTGTGTGGAAAAGAAAAAGATGAAGAAGATGTTTTTTTATTAAATTGAAAACTTAAAACAAAGCAGAACCAATTATATACTGAATTCTAAGAATGTACATCTGTCAAGCTTCACCCTAATGGGTATTTATATCTTGAAAAAGCCTAAAGAAAATAAATCACTAATTCATAAAATATTCAAACTCACAATTCTAACAAACTAAAAATCCTAAATAAAAATTATATGAAAACTAAATTCCTAATAAAACAATAAAATATCAAATGTTTAAATTCAATTACAACTTTAAAATTCCTAAAGAATTATGGTTCGCCTTGCTTTTCTCATTTGATCTTGCTATTTGGATTTTTTAATCAGATTTTGTGATTGGTTCAAACATTCAATCTGATTGGCGTCGACTTTTGTCAAATAAATAGAAAAATGTTTAATTCATCTTTTAATTGTTATTTCCTAAAAATAAAAATCATACACAAATTCGAATAAAAACATCCCAAATTAGCACTATAAAAGGAGGTAACACGAATTAATTAATAACAAAATATTAACCAATCAAATATTTTGAGTGAAGGGTTGCCAGACTTGAAAATTTGTACAACGAAGTCAAGAAGGCCCAAAAGGGGACGGAACCACGCCTCCTATTGTTGAAAAGGCCCGATCGCTCGATCACGGCTGATATACAAGAGATCATTGAAGAGTCAGAGGAGAGGTTGGCCATAGAGACTGAGTCACACTAAGAGGAGATGATAACACTTAAGATAGAGATGAAGAGACTCAAAGATGATAAGATGATGACCCTGAGGAAGGAGGTTGAACGACTCAAGGAAGGGCAAGTGTCAGCGTTGAAAAAGAAAACAAAAGAGCTCAAGGGTGAACTATTCTTGTGTAGGTTTGTTATGGCAGCATTGAAAGACTGAAAGATAATGGAGACAACCCAACACCATGGTGATGTTCCCAAACTAGAAAAGATCGAAGGGACGAGATCCACACAAGATATGGAAAATTTGGGGCTTGGAACAATACTTCTGAGTCATGGGCGTTATGGATGATACCACTATGGTAAATATTGCTAGTATATATTTAACTGATGTTACTTTCTTATGGTAGCAACATAGGTTCTCTAAAGAGAAGAGCAAGAAGATTTCGATCGGGATGTGGAACGAGTTCCAAGTCAAGTTCAAAGAGCAATTCTACACAAAAATAACCAAAAAGAGGCATAGACTAAGCTATAAAAAGTAAAACATGATGGTTCATTCAAAAGTATTAAGCAATTCACTAAACTTAGTTTACAAATCTTGTACATGAGCGACGAAGATGGATTATTGTCCTTCACAAACGAACTCCAATGATGGTCCTAAATAGAGATACAACAAGAGAAATCATAAAACTCTCCAAGGCATCAGTCACTACCGAATCCTTAGCAGAATTTAAATTCTTGAAGACAAAATAATTCAAGACAAAGCTTAAATACTAGGGCAATGATGGGAAGATAGAGAAAAACCATCCATGGATATGTCCGAGGAGCCATTAAGTGGGAATATGAGGCCACATGAGAAACCCAATTAGTTCTGTAGGTCAAGAGAAGAGAATAATGACCATTTAACATGCATGAATTGTGCAGAAAAGCAAATGAAGAGATATTGCCCCAAGAATCAAAATTTTCTGCAATCAAGGGAAGAGACGATGAATCGAATGAGGAAATATTCATTCTTGGTGCGATTTTGTTCGTCAAGATGAGGATAAAAGTAGAACAATTGAAGTGCCACTAAGGGGAGAGGTAACAAAGGTTGCAAAATTGGCAGAATAAACCAAGACGTTTAAAGAATAAGACGAGCCTACGAAACAAGCACGATGATCCTAGGTTTGGTCATGTTGAATGTAAGCCAGAAACAGAGAAGGTTGATATAGGTAGACGTCAAAATTGTGTGACAATTGAGGAGTGCTCTAATGGATAATGGGGATGATCAAGACTTTCAACTCTGAGTGCGTACATATCACTAGAGTGGCACGGAAGATAAAACTACAAATTAGTGAATGGATAGGAAAGAAAGACTTCAAGGTAATCCCGTTAGATGACTTTGACTTTGTGATCAATTTAAGTTTCCTTGACTGCATTAAAGTATTCATCATCCCCTTTCTCAATACTTATACGTCTCGAATCCCAAACGACAATGTAATGTTCCCCAAAGCTGAGTTAAAGAGAAAGAGACCAAGACCTTGATTGTAATTCAATTCATGGGAGATGATCCAAGGGACATGAAGATGTCACCAATGGATGAGGCGGTAAAATTGATGCTACTGGCACCATAATCTATAGAGGAATGA